GTTGAGCTATAGGCGCCGAGCCGACTTTTGGATTTTTAATTAGAGATCTATTTAAAAAAAATTGAGCACGTTGCAGGTTGAAAAAATACTTGGTCCTTTTTGTAACCATGTACTGTACTCTTCAAAGCAGTGAGTGTACTTCTCTTACTCACCATTTTATTTCTTATAGATGATTGGGCTTGATGCTGGGAAACATTTTGAAGATGAGATTCCAAACAGTGACTTCAGCCTCACGAGCTTATTAGACAACGAGAGGCCTGTGTCACTTACAAGCTTGGAAGATTCTTCTGGTACTACAGACTCACTTGTGTTCCCCAGTGCGTTCCCTGTGCCTGCTCTGTCCTCCTTTGTTACAGTAGTAATTATGCCAAGTTTGGGGGGGTTTGCCCTCCCCTTTTCTTTCTACCTGCCAGCATTCAAATGGCTACTTTTATTGAGTAATGGGATTTAAAATTGCATTTCTGTATATCAATCCTGATGTGATTCTATTCACCTCTTAGTTTAACATCATTAGAGTACAAAGTAGTCACCTAAAGGTGCCACTCAGTATAAAGCATAATGGTTAGAAATTGGGGGAGCAATGAAATGTTTACCCTCTGCTCTTGAAGAAACCTCAGCTTAAGTGCGGAAAAGAGATGCATAGCCAAAGTTCAGATCATCTTAAGTATACCTCAACAGTGTGAAAATAGCTGGGAATTGTCGGGGGTGACACATCAGTTCTGAATGAGGAAGGCATGTCTGAAGCTTTGTGGAAAGAGCATGGGGGCTGTGCTAAGCCTTAGACGAGAGAGGAGCAGGTGTTGGGGCAGAAAGGACATGAGCAGAGGATGAGAGACAGGCAGGCCACATTTGGAGAACAGCTCAGGGCTTTGGGTTGTGTGTTGTTGGCACCTGTGTGGGGCTCTGTTGGTTAAGTAAACCCAGAAAAGTAGGCTGGATCAAATCGTGAATGGCTTTGAAGGCCCAGTTGAAGAGCTGAGCAGCTTAAATAGAATGTACAAATCGTGTCGCATCCATTTGGGACAGGTTTTTTTTTTTTTTTGGTGGGGGCTGGGTTTGAACCCGCCACCTCTGGTATATGGGCTGGCGCCCTACTCCTTTGAGCCACAAGAGCTGCCCTGAGACAGGTTTATTGCCAAAGGAGTTTTCAGATTTTCTTGTTTTGTGGAGTTGTATAGATAAGGAATTATCTATCTGAATTTATCAGATCTATGATTGTTTTAATGAGCAAGATTCTTAGAGGTGAAATGCTAAGTCAAAGGTTATAAGTGTTATTAAGACTCTTAATGATGCAAAATTAACCTCTAAAAAGGCACGGCTAACTGACTGTACCATTGCTATCATTGAGAGCCCTTGACTTACCCTTGCCAAGCTGGGTGTGGCCACCACTGACACCCTGCAGTGTCTTCCCCTCCTCTCATTTTTCTCTGATGATGGGCTTGCCTATTCTTTTTTGATAATTAACCTTTGCTATACCATTTTATCAATAGTCAACTCTTTCCCCATTGATTGGTGGTTCTTTCTTTCTTCTTTTTTTTTTTTTTCTGAGACAGAGTCTCACTTTGTCACCCTCAGTAGAGTGCTATGGCATCACAGCTCACAGCAACCTACAATTCCTGGGCTTAGGAGATTCTCTTGCTTCAGCCTCCTGAGTAGCTGGGACCACAGGTGCCCCCCACAATGCCCAGCTATTTTTTGTTGCAGTTTGGCTGGGGCCAAGTTTGAACTTGCCACCTTTGGTATGTGGGGCTGGCACCCTACCCACTGAGCCACAGGTGCCGCCCTGTCTGTACTCTTAAAGAGGTTAAACATTTAGCTTGTCCTAAAATGTTCATAATCACTTATAATTGACTGAAATTATAATAGTTTCCTCGTGTCAAATATAAAAACAAAATCATATATTTTTAACATCTATACATATATATTTTGAGACCGAGTGTCACTTTTTTGCCCTCTGTAGAGTGCTATAGCATCATAGCTCACAGCAACCTCAAACTCTTGGGCTCAAGTAATCCTTTTAGCCTCCCCATTAGCTCCGACTATAGGCACCTGCCACAGTGCCCAGCTATTTTGAGAGACTGGGTCTTGCTGTGGCTTAGTCTGATCTCAAACTCCTCAGCTCAAGTGATCCTCTCACCTTGGCCTCTCAGAGTGCTAGATTACAGGTATGAGCCATCGTGCTCAGTCTCAAAAATTATATTTTGACTCACATATGTTGTGTCAGTAATATAGCCTGGTGCAGTAGTGCCTGCTTATAGCCCCAGCTACTCAGGAGGCCAAGGCAGGAGGATTGCTTGAGTTTAGGAGTTTGCGCCCAGCCTGAGCAACATAGTGAGACCACATCTGTTAAAAAAAAAAAAAAAAATTATTATTTAGTCACTGCTTAAAGCCTGTCCTATTTTTTCTCCATATTTTTCATATTTTTCTTAATAGATGATGATGATATTGATGATGAAATCTTTTATGATGATCATTTGGTGGCTTATTTTGAACAACTGGCAATGCCAGGAATGATATATGGAGACCTAGAAGGACAAGGAGCTCCAGAAAAAGATTTTAAATTACCCATAAGTGGTCTTTCTCAGGTATGTTCTAATCTCTATGGATTTTTAGAAATTTGACACTGGAAAACTACTATTAGTCTCATTGGATATTAACATTAACTCAGAGCCTTTGGCCTGTCTTTCCCGAGTGTGAATTGGTGAGAAGTGCCCCTTTCCCTACTTTCTCTTCCTTTCCCTCACTGTCTACATGCTCACCACCCAGATTACCCAGCTGCTAAAGTCTGCCTTCTTTGCATTTCCCTCTCTCTCCTACATGCTTTCTCCCCTGAATCATTTGAAGGTAAGTGGCAGGTAGTATGGCACTTCATCCAAACACAGCAGCATTTATATCCTGTGAACAAGGACGTTTTCTAATGTAATCGTAATACTGTTATCTAACTTGATATAACAGTTTAAATTAATGTATGATCCACAGTCAGATTTGCCCCATTGGCCCCAAAATGTCCTTTACTTTTGCTATTTTTGAACCCTAATTTAGTCAAAGATTATGCTTGTGTTTGATTATCATATCTCTTTATTTTCTTTTATTTGGAGTTGGTCTTTCCTGACATTAAACATTTTGTAGGCTGGGTGGGTAGCTCATGCCGGTATTCCCAGCAATTTGGGAGCCGGAAGGGGGAGGAATGCTTGAGAGGCCAGGAGTTTAAGGCCAGCCTGGGAAACATAGTGAGGTCCCATATCTGCAAAGAATAAAAACATTAGCCAGGTGTGATGGAGCGTGCCTGTAGTCTTAGCTATTCTCGAGGCTGTGGCAGGAGGATACTTGAGCTCAAGAGTTCAAAGGTTCAATCTGGGCAGTAGACTGAGATGTGACTCTGTCTCTTAAAGAAGAAATAAGATCGGCTCAACGCCTCAGCACCTCAGTCTTATAGCACCAGCCACAGGCACCAGGGCTGGCAGGTTTGAACCTGGCCTGGGCTTGCTTAACAACAATAATGACAACAACAACAACAACAACAAATAGCCAGGGGTTGTGGTGGGCGCCTGTAGTCCCAGCTACTTGGGAGGCTGAGGCAAGAGAATCGCTTGAGCCCAAGAGTTTGAGGTTGCTGTGAGCTGTGACACCACGGCACTCTACCCAGGGTGACACAGTAAGACTCTCAACAAAAAAAAAAAAAAAAAGAAGAAGAAGAAATAAGATTATAAAATCTATGCTCTCTGTTTTGTAGGGCAACCCCTAATATAAACAGACCTGATTGCTTTTTTTCTCCTGACTGAATTAAACATTTTGGCAAGAATTCAGATTAAATAGTTATCTCATACGTGAGCTCCGATTAACCACAGGTGATACTGTGTTCCCCTCACTGCCTCACATCCGACATTTAAATCTGTTCGTTACTGGTGATGTTACACTTGAATGATTTTGGTTGAGGTGGTAGTGGCCAAATATCTCTCTACGAAAGTACCTTTCCCCTTTGTTACTCATAAGTTATCTTTGGGATGAAACAGACATCCATGAAAGTCTTTCTTTTGTTTGTACATTAAAATCTTGTGAAGATCTTATTGCCCAGCAACCCTTCATGAACTGATTTTAATATCATTGGTAAAGCCCCCTGGAAATAGTTAGTACATTGGTAGTTGTGATAGTGATTTTTCTTATTCCTTCTACATTAATAACCCTGACCTGGCATCCTTTGGGTCTGCTCCCGTGTTTTCCTCCTCAAAAGGTTTAACTTCTTTTTTTTGAGACAGATTCTCAAGCTGTCACCCTAGGTAGAGTGCTGTCACATCATCATAGCTCACAGCAACCTCTAACTCTTGGGCTCAAGCAATCCTTTTGCCTCAGTTTTTCTCTTTTTTTTCTTTCTTTTTTTTTTTTTGACAAATTCTCACTATGTGGCCCTTGGTAGAGTGTCGTGGCGTCACAGCTCTGGGAGACTGAGGTAGGTGGATTGCCGGAGCTCACAAGTTCAAAACTAGCCTGAGCCAGAGCGAGACTGAGTCTCTAAAGTAAATAAAATAGCCAGGTCAGACATAGTGGCTCATGCTTGTAATCCTAGCACTCTGGGAGGTGGGCTGAGTGCTATGGTGTCATAGCTCACAGCAACCTCAAAGTGTTGGGCTCAAGTGATTCTCTTGCCTCAGGCTCTCAAGTAGCTGGGGCTACAGGCACCTGTCACAACATCTGGCTATTTTTTT